TAGATCCTAGGCCCTGCCCGCTCTCCACCCCCCCCCCGCCCCCACCACCTCCCCCCCCCCCCCCCCCCCCCCCCCTTCCCGGCCTCCGCTGCCTGCCTGCCTGCAGCTACGTGCTGACTCAGTTCCAGAGCCACACTCTGAACAGCCACATCGCGGCCTCCTACCCGCCCATGAAGCTGGGCGCGCCCGACCAGCAGGCGTGGGTGGATGTGCTGGCGGCGCAGCAGACGGTGACGGAGCGCGAGTGGTGAGCTGGCAGCCGCCTAGGGGCAAGGGGCCGGTCTTGTGGGGGCAGGGCCGTCTTGTCGGGTTGGGGCGCGCAGCTGCAAGAGCACAGCTGGCTGGCCAATGCAGGGCAGCTTAGGCTGCCAGGGGCCATCCCAATCCAATGCAGCGGCAAGCAGCATGCCCTCGCAGCCTGCACAGCGGGAAGCTCGGCAGCCCAGGCGCCGACCGCCCCACGCCGTGCCACAGTGATCTGAACCACAAAACACTCCACCGATGCGTCTGTGGTTGTACTGCCATTGTACTGCAGGTACCAGGGGTCCGCTGATGCGGTACGCAAGAACCTGGGGGAGCTCAAGGATGAGGCGAGGGGCATCACTCCCGCTCGCGATTATGTCATCCTGTCCGGATCGGGTGGGTGGGTGGCTGCGCGCGGTGGGGCACTGGGGCTGGCAGCGGCTGTGTTGGAGGGAGGTGGCTGGGGTCGTGGGCGGGCTTGGTGGGTAGCTGGGGGCTGGTGGAGCAGGAGGGAGGTGGCTGAGGCAGGGGTCTCGGGTGGTGGAGGAGGAAGGGGCGGCAGCTAAGTTGGGTGCTGGAGTGAGAGGGCGGTGGCTCGTTTGAAGCAAGAAGGAACCCCATTCCCGGTATTCTGCAATCTCTCACCGTACCGCCTGTACCGCCTCCCCTGCAGCCGTCTACAAGATGGACTTCCAGAAGCTGGTGGCATTCCACCGCGAGAAGAATGCGGACGTGACCATCGCCATGCACACCTGCGGGGAGGCCGACGCCCGCACCAAGGGCATCGCCCAAGTCCACCCCTCCTCCGGTGAGCCGCCTTCTGTTTTGCTAGCGCGTCCCAACGCCAGCTGCTGCTGCTTGCTGGTGCTGCGGGCGGGGCTCGCGCGGCCGGCTGCTTTGCACTGCTTGTGTCGCAGCCGGCGCTGCGGCCGCCGCGCTGGGAAGCTGGGGTGGTGGCTGGCGGCCGGCGTTGCTGCAGCCTGCCTGGCGCGTGTGTACCTGCACCGGCACGGCACACCCCTTCCTCGCCCTGCCCCCAACAATCGCTCCACCCTGCCCTGCTCCCGACTGCGCTCACCCCGCCCCTCCTGCGCTTTCTTCCTCCTGCGCTTTCTTCCTCCTGCGCTTAACCGTCTTCCTCCCCCCGCTGCAGGCAAGGTGATGAAGTTTCTGGAGAAGCCGACGGCAGATGACCTGGGCAGCCTGCGGCGCGAGGACGCCGCCGCCGCGCCCGGCGCAGAGTTCCTGGCTAGCATGGGCATCTATGTGTTCAAGCGGGAGGCGCTGTTCAGGCAGGCTGGGGTGTGGGGGGGGGGGGACCGCGAGGGGTCGGGACGGTGACGGGGCGTTGTTTTAAGGGTGCGGTGGCGAGCACGCTGCCTGTGGGGATTGGGGCAGCTGTACAGCGGGTTGGAGGGCCAGCCTGGGCGCTGTTGCTCCTGCCAGGCCCACCAGCCCGCTCGCCCTCGCTGCCATGCCATGTTTCCTCACTCTTCCGTGTCTGGGCCCGGCGCCTCCCCTGTCCCGCCCACCGCAGGCTGATCGACCGCCCTCAGCTGGTGCACATCGGTCACCACGTGAGTGTGCGCCGGCTGTGGCGCCCGTCGTGCGACGCCTTGCTGCCTTTGCACGTGGGTGTCTGCGCGCCCTCTCCACTCTCTGCCGTGCCCCCGCTCCGGCGCGCAGGTCATCCCCAACGCCCTGGCCCAAGAGATGAAGGTGTATGCGTACCAGCATGACGGGTACTGGCACGTGAGTTGGGGGGCGGTACAGCAGCGGTACCGTCGTGCAGCTGCACTGCCGGCGGGACATCGCTGCGCTGCGCAGGCAGCAGTGGGGTGTGTGGCTCTGCAGCTGCTGTGGAAGGGCTAGGTGTAGTTTGGGGTCACGTGTGCCGGTGCCTTGACCATCCCACGCCGCACTACACTGCAACCCACGCACACATTTCTACACTACAACCCGCGCACACACACCGTGCTGGATGCCCCGCCCTCGCATGCGCTGCAGGATGTCTCCAGCCTCAAGGACTTTTTCGAGACCAACCTGGACCTGGCTGACCCGGATGCGCTGATGGGCACGGTGTGCAGGCGGCCGGCTTCATCCCTTAGGCCGCCATACAGCTGGCGCACCGCTCCTGTGCCTGCACACAGCGCCCTGCCGCCGCGATGCTGCTGGCCTGCCTGCAACCGTACTGCAGCACTGCAGCCGACCCGTCACGCTGCCCCCTGACCCCTGCCCGCAGATTGACGACATGACGGGGCGGCGCGGCGCCAGCCTGCCGCCGGCCATGATGCAGGATGTGGAGCTGGATCGCGTGATCGTGGGAGATGGGTCGGGTGGGTGTGCCTGCCTGCCTGCCTGCCCGCCTGCCCGCCTGCCGGCCTGCCGGCCTGCCTGCCCGCCCGCCTGCCTGCCTGCACAAGAGCCCACCGTGGCGGCCCCATGCGGGCAGATGCGGGCCTACCCAGGGCAGCGCAGCATCAGCTGCACAGCGGCCTGCCCTTGCTGCCTGCCCTAGCGAGCTCTGGCCCTGCCCCCTCCTCACCTCCGCCCTCGCCCTCCAACTCACTCCCCGCAGTGCTGGTGGGCTGCAAGATCAGCAACAGCGTGTTGGGAGAGAGCACGTATGTGGGACGGGGCACCATCGTGGAGAATGCTCTCATCCTGGGCAACGGAGCCTGGATGAGCGACCTCGACCGCAAGCAGGCGCTGGAGCGCGGCGACCGCGTGTACGGCGTGGGTGAGTGGCGCAGGCAGCCGGCTGTGTGGCGGGCCCGGGCCCAGGCTGCCTTTGCTGTGTGCGTGCCTTTGGCTGCACACTTGCATTTCGGCAGCCTCCTCTGAGCTGCAGCGAGGCTTTCTTCCCTGGCCCCCCAACCCTGGCCCCCCCAACCGTGTGTTCTTCTGCGTTCTGGCCCGCGCAGGCGATAACTGCTTCCTGAGGCGTTGCGTGGTGGACGAGAACGCCACCATCGGCAACAACGTGCAGATCATCAACAAGAGCGGCGTGGCGGAGGCAGACCGCAGCGAGAGTGAGCGGCGGGGCGCCTTGGGGCTGGGGCCGGGGCCGGGGACATCATTGCTGCGCAGCGGCATGCAGCAGCAGGGAGGGAGGGAGGGGAGACGTTGTGGATGCAGAGTGAGGCAGGGCAGGGAGACGTGCGTGGCTGCTCACCAGCCTGACGCTATAGTGCTGCGCTGCTGCTGCTGCCGTGGCTTCTGACCGCTGCCATGCTGTGCTTGTGCCCCGCCGCGCTGCCCTGCCTGCAGGCGGCTTCATGGTGCAGGACGGGATCGTGGTGGTGATGCGCAACGCCGTGCTGCCGGACGGCATCGTGATCTGAGGAGGCCAGGCCAGGCCAGGCTCCGCCGCTCCACGCCCCGCCTGCCCCGCTTCCGCGCTGCCAGCGGCTTCCCGTGCGGCGCCGTGCTGCCTACCAATCCCCTGTACCACCACCACCATCGATCCCACCATTCTTGCCCCGCGGTGCTGGCACCGCGGGGGCAGTTTGCGGGGCGTGGGCAGTAGCGGCGGGCCCTTAGTGCGCATGCAAGGGGGCGTTGTGCCCCCTTGAGGCGTGCGCCGCTGGCGCATGCGCTCTTGCCTGCCCTGCCCTCGGACTCCCCCTAGCCCAAACAAATGAGCGGCCTCTTTTACTGCGTCGGCATTTTATACCATCTCTCCATTCTCTGCGTGCTTTGCTGCTCCGGCCCCGCTGGCCGCTATGTACTGCCACCAGAAACTGAACCTTAGCGCGTGAACCCTCGTCGGCACCCTGCCCCATGCACAGCACCCCTGCCGCTTAGCGTCCCTCTGACTCTTTCTCCACATCTCTCTGCTGTCACCTGCCCCATCCTGCCCTGCCCGCCTCCTTTTGCCAGAGCCGCGCAGCCCCAGGCTTGTCAGCAAGCGCATTTCATGTGCGCAGCATGCCCCGCGGCCCCGCCTGCAGCATTTCATGCTACCCTGCATTTAGTCAAAATTTTGCCAAGAGCTGAGAAGCACATACATTGAGTTGCTGTTTTGCCATCCGCCCGCGTCCGCTGCGCCTTTTTGCTCCTGTCCCCGCCCCCCAACCGCTGCGCAACGCTCCAATGCAGCTCCCCGTTTGTACCTGTAACTTCTTACGTTGAGATCTGCCCCTGGGGATGGGCATTGCCAGGCCCAAGTTGGCAACACATGCTGTGCTGCGGGAGCGGGGCGCCAGGTGGATGCGGCGGACCCAAACCTGTAGCGCTCGCTGCAGGTGTCCTGAAATGACATCTGGCATTCGTTGCAGCTGGAGAATGACCATCCGTGGCGACGAGCAGGGTGCTCCGCCGTCTGCTGGCTGGCCTGCAGTGCAGCGTTTTGTGGCCCGCTGCCTTGGCGACCTGCCCCGCGGGCAGCAGGTACACATGGAGCGCCAGCTGTTCACGCCGCCGCTGCGGGCGCTCCGGTGGGGCGCCCCTTCCGCCCCGCCACCGCTGCCCGCCCCGCTCTCAAGTTCCGCCTCCCTCCTCTCGCGTGCGCTCGTGCCCCTGCAGCCGCCGCCCACGCCCACAGTTCTCAAAGAGTGGGAGAACACTGTGCTGCCAGCGGCGGCGGCAGGCCTGATTTACGGCGTGACGACCCAATGGGCGGCCGAGCGGCGGCGCGCGGGTGCGTCGGCATGCCGCGGCGTGCGTGGGAGGCGCAGGCCTGGTGCTGCTGGCGCAGCCTCTCTTTTTCTCCCAGCCTCCTTCGCCTTCTGCCAAACGGCCTTGCCTCCCTTCATCAACCTCTTCCGCTCTTTTCTCAACCCCTCTCCCCACATCGCCAGGCCCCGTGCTGCCGTCGGTCAACCTTCGCATGGACCGCCTGTTCCGCATCAGCGACGCCGCCATCCGCCACTCCCTGCCCATGGCCGGGCTGGCGGTGATCTTCCTGGGCGTGGAGGCTCTGTCGGCAGTACACCGCGGGCGGGACCGCCTGGTCCTGGATTCCATGTACGGCGGCACCACGGTGGCATGCGTGTATGGAGGTGAGCGGCAGAGGCCCGACATGGCAGCGCCGATTATGCATGGGCGGCCGGCGTCTACCGTTGCGCTGGGCGCTTGGCGCAGCGCTCTCGAGCCGTACACAGCCCCTGGCATGCCTGGTGCAGCCAGCGGGGAATGCGCATGCCTCCCAGAGTGTGTGTTCATGTTAAGTTGGGAGCATCAGCCGATCTAGCCAGGGGACGAGCCTGAGGCGATGCTCCCCGCCTGCCTGCCTGCCTGCCTGCCTGCAGCGCACAAGATCATCCAGACGCCCAGCTGGCCCCTTCCCCCGCTCCTGCAGCCCATGCTGTTCATTCTGGGCATGTGCTCCATCCAGGGAGGCCTGCAGTGGCTGCAGGCCAAGGAGAAGGCAAAGGAGGCGGCCGCCGCTGCGGCCGGTGAGGCGCCGCCTGGGCAGGGGGCCGCTTGGGTACACAACAGCCCACACCTAACTCAACATGCGTGCACACACACACACGCATGCACACGCGCATACGCTCATGCGCGTGGCCAGCTCCCCTGCTCACCGCGCTCACTGCTGCCCCGTGCAGAGGAGGAGGGGCGGCAGCGAGCGCAGCGCGCCGCGCGGCGCGGCGACGCCGCCTCGCAGCTGCTGGCGCAGCTGGAGCAGGCGCGGCAAGGCGGCGCCGCCGCACCTCCGCGGCCGCCAGAGAAGGGGGGCGCAGGGCCCCAGCAGCAGCAGCAGCAGCAGCATGGGGAGCAGCAGGCAGGACCGGACGAGCATCAGGCGCCGCTGTCTGACCGCGAGGAGGCGATGCGGATTGTGCAGCAGCTGGCTGCCGGGCCGGGGCGCATAGCAGCAGAGGGGAAGCGGGCGGCGGAAGAGAGGTATGACAGGGCACAAAGCGCAGCAGGAGCGCAGCCGGCGGCGGCTGGGGGCGGCCACGGCTCGGCGGCGGCGCAAGCTGAAGCGGGGCGGCGATGGTGGCAGGTTCTGGGGCGCAGCAGCTAAGTGCCTGTTTGCCTCATGTTGCAAAGAATGCTGAGCAGGATAATTTAAGGCTGGCACGCATCCAATACGTGGAGTGAAGCGTTAGTACATTTCACAGGGCTGGGCTACAGGGCTGGGCTGCCCTGCTGGTGCCGGCAGTCGCGGCAGGACGGCATGCCGATGCGGTCCGCTGGCCGCCACCTGGCACCCGTGCCTGCTGGCTCAGCTATGGTAGGGCGCATCCTATGGTAGGGCCGGCTGCTGCCTGGCTCAGGCGCTGGCCTCCGCCTGCTGGCTGCAGCGCGGTCAGGCGCTTGCCTCCAGCGTGATGGTCAGGTGCTCGGTAGCATCCGCCCGCAGCACCTCCACATCCAGCTGCAGGCAGGCAGGCAGGCAGGCAGGCAACCACAGCAGGCGCAGCATGGAGCGCAACAGCCAGGGGAAGGGGGGGCAGCTGCAGCCAGGACGGCCTCGTGCCCTGCTGCCAACGGGGGGCAGCAGCAGTGCAAAGGCAGCAGCATAGCAATATGTGCAGTACCACGGTACCGTACCTTGTCCCCCACCGAGCACTTGTCCAGGATGCGGTACAGGTCTGAGGCGGTGTTGATGCGCTTGCCGTCGATGGCCAGAATGATGTCGCCCAGCACCAGCCTGCAGTAGCGGGTGTCCCGGGCGGAGGGCGGTTGGGCGGTGTGGCGCTGGGTGGGTGGCTGTGTGAGTAATGTGCAGCATGATGTGTTGTGCGGTGCTATGCTGGTAAGTGCAGATGGCGTGCTTCAGGCACGATGTTACGGACATGCCATCAACATAAAACCATCAACTACAGTGTCGTCCCTCCTTCCAACTCACCGGCCGTACTCATCCCGCGTCGAGCCCCGCACGCCGGCCTTGGCAGCAGGCCCGCCGTCCCGTGCGTTGAGAACCAGCACGCCGTTCACCCCCAGCTGCTCCACTGCACCTTTGCGTGCGCAGCGGCGAGCGGGGAGGCGGCGTCAGGCACACCTCAAGGCTGGGCTGCTGAACAACGGGGGACGGCGCTGGCCGCTCGGCGACTCGGCCGGCCTCCGCGCGTCACACGTGATGCGCCGGCGGCAGAGGCAGAGGCAGGGGGAGAGGCAGAGGCAGCGGCTGGAAAAACAGAACCAAGCTCGCACCCGACTGGTCTGGCGCAAAGCTGATGCCCATGATGGGCCGCACCACCTTGCCGTACTTGATGATCTGCGGGCGGGCAGGCAGGCGGGTAGGAAGCGTCAGGCTGGCGAGCAGACACGTAGGCAGGCAGGAGGGCAGACAAGCAGGCAGGCAGGCGGGCAAGGGAGGAGGCATGCAGGCAGCCACAGAGGCAGGATCGGCAGGCAGCACACCGCGTCCAGCCCGTGGGGCGTGCAAACAGCCAGGGGCCAGCGCAGGCAGCTGCCGCTTGCCTGGTCCACGCTGCTCTTCACCACGTCCACAGGGATGGCAAAGCCCACGCCCGCGCTGTTCCCTGCGCAGCAGTGCATCCTCCCAGGTGCACGGCTGAGCGCCTGGCATGCAGCCTTGCAGGTAGCTGCCAGCCAGCTGGCGGGCATGGCCCCTCACCCCGCAGGCGGACCGCGGGCCCCATCCCGCCTGGCAAAACGCACGCGCACCTGACTGGCTATAGATGGCTGTGTTGATGCCAATCATGCTGCCACTGCTGTCCAGCAACGGCCCACCGCTGTTGCCTGCAGGCCCGCGAGTCAACGGGATGTTAGTCGGCGGCCACAGCCTGCCTTGATGAGCATGCCCTGATGAGCACGCTGCTGACGGCAGCGGGCAATGCGCATACACAAGAGCAGCAGGCCGGTACGGCAGGAAGGCGGGCAGGCCGGCGAGCAGGCTGGCAGGCTGCGTGACTGGCCTGGATTGATGGCTGCATCGGTTTGGATCACATCCTGGATGGGGCGCCCCGTGTTGCCAGAGTTGATTTCCCGCCCCGTGCCGCTGATGACGCCTGCAGGCGCGGCAGCAGAGTAGCGGGCAGGCAGGCAGGCAGTCGGGTGGGAGAAAAGGCCACCCAAGGGGCCTCCCCCGGAAACAGGGGGCCGCGGGCCAGCCCGCGACGCTGCTCAGCTGCCACGGAGGCGCAGGCTTAGGGAGGGCATGCAGCGGTGTGACCGGGGAGCCCCGCAGTGAGAAGATGCTCGCAGCGCCAGCCTGCGCCGGGCCGCCAGGCGCCACCTGCCTGCGGTGAGCGTGTGGTCCAGGCCGAAGGGGTTGCCGATGGCAAAGACCTTCTGCCCCACCTCCAGATCTGCCGAGTCGCCCAGGCGCAGCGGGGTCAGTGGGCCCTGCAGCGCCGGCGGCGCGCCAGGGGCGGGCGCGTGGGCTGCAGCGACGGGCGCAGAGCAGCAGCGACGCGCGCAGAGCAGCAGCGGCAGGCAGGCCCACACCCACAGCCCCACACTTCACAGCCAACGGCCGCTCAGCTCCATCCAGACTGCCACACGAATGTAGCCCCACACAACCGCAGGGCCACACCCTCCCTCCCCCTCCCTCCCTGCTTGCCTCCATCTCTTTAGCCTGTATCTGCAGCACCGCCACATCCTTGTCCTCGTCGAAGCCCACCACCTTGGCAGGCTGCCCCTCGCCGCCTGATAGCGTCACCTGCAGCGCACGCAGTGGGGCCCAGGTGGCGGGAGCGAGCCGCAAGGGCACCGCGCCACGAGCACAGCCGATCGTAGCATTCATGGCGTGCACCCCCGGCTGCCACCAGCGAGCAGACGCCATGCCGGCCCCGGAAACAGTAGCACGGCGGCGGCCCGACTTGGCGGCGCCGTTCCAGGCAGGCGCTGCCATCCACCCACCAGCACATCGGAGGCGCCCCGGATCACGTGATAGTTGGTCACAATGTGGCCTTGCTTGTCCCACACAAACCCTGCAGAGCGTGGCCAGGGGGCAGCGCGGAAGTGTGGGGCCGCCCGTGGTTGCTGAGCCGGCTCCTGTGACGCGGCTGTTGGGGCAGTCCAGCAGGCCACCCTCGGAGGCAAGCTGCTCCCTATGCATCCGACTGCGGCAGCGGGCGAGGCAGCAAGTTCCCCCCTCACCTGAGCCCTCTCCCTGCGGAATCTCCAGCATGTTGAGCGTGAAGGCGTCCCGCCTGCGCTACGGTATCGCCAGGACAGGTGGGCATGGCAGGCACATGACCAACGGAGCCGTTCAGAAGAACGGTTGCAGGCGTGAACCAATACCGACCGGCAGCGCAGCGCCAGCGCAACAGGTGGCGCGCACGGCCGGAAACACCAGCTACCACCGCCTGCGGTGCGGCGGCCTCTCACCGGGTCGTGAGGCTTGTGATGTAGACTACGCTTGGCCTGCTGCGCTGGAACAGGGCTATCGTGTTCTTTTCGTCTTGCGTGAGCACTGGCCTGGCCTTAGCGACGTCTAGAGGAGTGCCCACAAGCAGCGCCGCCGTGGCAGCCACCCCCGCCAGCGCCGCCGCCAGCCGCCGCTGCGGCTGCTGCCAGCGATCAGCGCCGTCGGCAGCGTCTACCGGCTGGTGGGCCCCAGGCCGCTGCTGGCAGCGTGGCTGCACAAGTGTTGCGCGGCGTGGCGCCGGCGGGCAGCGGCGGCAAGCTGCCGAGTCTGCAGTGGCTGCCAGCGGCGGCGGAAGGGCGCAGTGGGCGGTGAGCCCTTGTGCGCGTCCCGGGAGGGTTGCACCTCGTGCTCTACCGATCTTATCACGTAGCAGCAGTAGGGAACGCACCTGTGGTGCACTTGCCAGAGCCCTGCAGACGCTGCGGAATGCTCATATCCTTGAAGTGGGAGCGGTGTGCGCCGGGGCTGTACAATTGGAGCGATCGGTTGCAGGAGATCAAGGCCAAAGGCTAGAGCTTTGCGCTGTTGGGGGTTTGTAGCCAGAGCGCTACGTGTGTGGCGATGCGTGTCTCCAGCGCGTGGCAGCAATCTCAGATTGCGCGGTTGCGTCCTCTGTGGAGGGGCGCGGCCTTCACAGACAAAGCCTCTCTTCTTGCGCCCGCCACCGTGGCGGGATGATTCCTGCTGGGCGAAACCCGGGGCCCAATGCCCGCCTCTCCCTTTCCCTCGGGTGATCAGCGCCGGCCTGAGTCCTTGCCGACAGCAGCCAGCCATGAGCGCAGCGGTTGCCGCACCTCCAGCCCCGGCGGAAGTCATCGTGAGTCCCACCGCACAGATCGCTACCCCGGGTGGACTGCAGTTGCATGATCTAGCTCTAGCAGGCTCCCCGCCCGCATCAACGCTGGGCGGTTGCCTGGCGGCGCCACCTGTCGCCGCTGCCCGCTCACCCGCCTACCAGGCCACCTGCTGGCACTAAAAACAAGCTGCTGGCTGAGCAGCTCAGACAGACTGCCGGTACCGCTGCCGTTCGAACGTGTAGCCCTCTCCCCTTTTGCTGCAGCCATGGGAGCTGTTCAAAACAAAGATGGACAAGGCGGGGCTCAGCGAAGCGGCACAGGGCGCCTTCAAGCTCAACTACGAGCAGCTCGTGCGCGGCGTGACGGGCCTGGTGCGCGGCGGCCGCCTGCTGCAGCACCGGCGCCTCGCCGGCGGCAGTACTGGTGCCTTTGGCCGTGCTGTTGTGGCTGCTGCTGCTACGGTCGCTGCTGTCGCTGCGGTCACTCCAAACATGGGACCGCAAGCTGCGACCTAGCCCAGATCCAGCCTGCCACTTGTTAACCCACGCATCCCTCTTTGCCTGCTGTGCAGGTGCCGGATAGGGACATCGACTCCGTGCAGGAGCTGCCACGGCTGGAGGCCCTCAAAGCGTCGGCAGAGGAGGGGGCAGACATCAAGGCATGCCGCCGCCGCTGCTGCCGCGGCTGCCTGCACCCGGCAGACGTCCCTGGCCTGCTGCCTCCCGCCTGCTGCGCGGTGTGCTGTCTTCCCTGCCTCTTCATCGCTGCCCGCTGCCTGTTGCGCCGTGAGCTCCTCACCAACCCCTCCCCGGGCCGCTCCTCCCGCCTCTGCTGCACCACACCTGCAGGACCTGCTGAAGCAGACGGCGGTGCTGAAGCTCAACGGCGGGCTGGGCACCAGCATGGGGTTGGAGAAGGCCAAGTCGCTGCTGGAGGTGAAGGGCGGGAAGACCTTCCTGGACCTGATCGCAGAGCAGATCAAGTACACTCGGCAGAAGTACGGTGAGGGTGGTTGTTGGGAGGTGCTGAGACTTGGTAGCGAGTGGAGTGATGGTGGTGGTGTTCACTGGTGTGTTGGGTTGGTGTTGGGGGGGGGGGGGGGGGGGGTACTACGTGCGTATGTGTGCACAGTACGGCCTGCGGAGGGCAGGACGCATCCAGTAGGAGCAGGGCAGGGAGGCGGCAGAGCAGCAGGGGCATGCAGGCAGGGACGAGGGCACAGGGCGTGGATGCTGCGCTGCCATGTCGGTCAGCAAGGCTTGCCCACCGCCCTGCCGCCTGCCGCCTGCCGCAGACTCCAAGGTCCGCTTTGTGCTGATGAACAGCTTCAGCACCAGCGCAGACACCAAGGCGTACCTGCGCAAGTCGCACTCAGGTGGGGCGTGGCTGCCGTGGCTACTGTGCGTGAGGCCCTGCTGTGCATCTGGCCGCTGCTACGTGCAGTACGTGGGGCCCTGCTGCTACCACCTACTCCCTCAGCAGCAGTGGCGGCTCTGGCTGCTGCCACGGCCCAGGTGTGCATGCCAGGGCTGGACCGCGGCAGCCAGCGGCCGGCGCAGGCCCGACACCGCGGCAGCCCGTCTCAGCGTCGCACATGCGCCTATGCGCCCCCGCTGCAGACCTGCTGGAGGAGCGGGATGTGGAGTTGATGCAGAACATGAGCTGCAAGGTGGATGCCGCCACGCTGAAGCCGGCTGAGTACTCTGAGCACCCAGACATGGAGTGGTGAGCCTTGTGCTGGGTTGCCAGGGGCTCATGGGAGGTGGGGGTGTTGGGGTGGGCAGCATGCTATGCTATGCTGGGGATTCAGTGTGTTTGTGGAAGCCATGTGGGTAGGATAGCCAGGTGGTGTGCCAGGGAGCAGTGCAGCCTCCTGCCTCCTGTTCTGCCAGCCACCCTCCCATGCTGGGCCTGGGCCCGCGGCGCAGGTGCCCACCCGGCCACGGCGACATCTATCCTTCCCTGCTGGGCAGCGGCATGCTGGACCGTCTGATCGACGGTGGGCACGCTGCGCCGCTGCTGCCGCTGCTGCTGCTGCTGCTTGTGCGCCCCGCATTGGGTGCTGCAAGCAGGCTCCATCTGGTGTCCGCACGTATTCCTGTCTCTGCATCCATTCTGTTCCCCAGGCACACACACACACACACACACACAATGCGGCCTGCCCTCGCAGACGGCATCACCTACCTGTTTGTGAGCAACAGTGACAACCTGGGGGCCACGCTGGACCTGGACCTGCTGGCGTACTTTGCGGGCAGCGACAAGGGGTTCATGATGGAGGCGAGTGGGGTGGCGGGTGCATAGGGGTGCTGTGGAGGTGGGTGTGGTGGTGGGTGTGGTGGTGGGTGCATTCGGGTGCACTGGTGGTGTAGTGTGTATGTTGATTGGGGGGAGGGGGGTGCGGCGCGGACTTCTGCCAGCGGGACCCAGCGGACCGCACCACCCTGCCGCGCAGGTGTGCGAGCGGGAGGTGAGCGACAAGAAGGGCGGGCACCTGGCGCGGCGCAAGAAGGACGGGCGGCTGATGTGAGGCGGGGAGGGGCGCCGCCGTCGGCATGAAGATTCGCAATGCCTTGCCTGCCCGCCACCCCCTGCCTGGCGGCTTTCCTCTGCCTGCTGCTGCTGCCAGCATTCCCTGTGGAACCCTCACCTGCGCCAGCACGGTTGCCGGCGGCGTGAGAGCTTGGCAGGGCCCTCACACCCGCCGCATGCCTCCCAAGTACCTGTGCAGGCTGCGTGAAAGTGCAATGTGTCCAGACGAGGACAAGTCGCTGTTTGAGGACATCACGCTGTGAGCGCTGTGATGGCACAGCTGGTGCCAGCGAGGCACCAGCTGGATGCCTTTCATGACCAGCGCCCAGCCCGGCTGGTGCAGGCTGCCTGAGTGCTGACCCTCTCCCTGCTTTCCTGTCGCTCTCCTGCCTGCCTGCCCTGCCCACAGCCACAAGTTCTTCAACACCAACAACCTGTGGGTCAACCTGCGCAAGCTCAAGGCAACCTTGGACGCCAGCGGTGCGCCCCTGCAGCGGCAGCTGGCGGTTACTCACTTTCCCCGGTGATGTCCCCATGCTTTGCTTTCCTCCTTGAACCTTACCTTCCAGTGGCCCTGCCTGCTGCCCGCCGGGTGCAGACGGCGTGCTGCAGCTGCCGCTGATCAAGAACAAGAAGACGGTCAACCCGCGCGACTCCTCCACCCCACCCGTCTTCCAGCTGGTGGGTTTCGCTCCCCGCATGCTGCAGTGGCAAAGCTGGCTGGCTGTCGACAGCGGCAGCTGGCGACGGCGGCAGCAGCGCTACCGCGGCGCGCAGGACGTGGCCTCGTGTTGTGGGTGGCTCCCGGTTTGTGGCGCGCTAGTGTGCAAGGCGTGGGTGCATCACGCGCGCTCCCCACCCAGCTGGCAGGCCCAGCCCCTGGGTCTCTGGCACCACAGCCGACGTCCCTCCCAACGCCTCCCGGCCCCGCCTGGCTCCCCCGGCTGCCGCCTGCAGGAAACGGCCATGGGATCTGCCATCGAGTGCTTCGACGACGCGGGCGCGGTGGTGGTGCCCCGCTCCCGCTTCGCGCCTGTCAAGACCTGCAACGACCTGTTTGCGCTGCGCTCGGGTGCGGATGGTGGCGGCGCTTGTGGCGCGTGCATGTGCATGCGTACCTCTCTGACTGTGTGTGTGTGCGCGTTCACGCCTGGTCCTATGCCAGCAGCTTGCGGCTGGCCTGCCTGCCTATACAGCTGTCCCAGCAACACATCCCAGTGCGCGTTGCTGTGTTCCCCACTTCCTCTCTGGTCTGCCATATGCTGCCACACGTACTGCCACGTGTACCGCCACCCATACTCTTTGCAGATGCATACAAGGTGACTGAGGAAAGCACGGTGGTGCTGGCGGCACCTTCCCCGCCGCTCATTAAGCTGGACGACAAGCACTACAAGTGAGTTGGGTACTGTCGTACCGCATCTGGCACCGCCTCGAATACCTTGGCGCTTTCTTACCTTTGGACGCCTCACGGCTGCCTCTGGCGGACATTGCGTTTCCGACGGCCAGTGCCGCGTGCGCTCCTTTGCTCCTCCATCGAAAGATCCACCCACCCTTCCGTCCCCCCACCCCCAGCACCCACCCACTCGGCCTTGGGACCCACCCAACCCTCCCTCCCTCCCTCCCTCCTTCTGTACTGCAGGCTGGTGGACCAGCTGGAGGCTCTGGCGCCCGAGGTGCCCTCCCTGTACCATTGCAAGTCTCTGACAGTCAAGGGTCCCGTCAGGTTCCTGGCAGGGGTGGCCATCCGCGGGGATGTCACCCTCACAAACAGTGAGCCCAGCCGGCCAGGCTGGAGCCAGCCGGCTTGCATGCCTGTCGCCTGGCCATGCTCGGAGGGATTGGCCTTGGCTCGGCGGGCTTTCACCTGCCGGCCCCGCTCTCCCTGCCCGCCCACACGCCCTGCAGTCACCGAGACGCCTGTGGAGCTGCGCGGCCGCACCTTTGAGGACGTGTCTCTGGAGGTGTGAAGCGCAGGAGCTGCCGTTCAAAGTGGCTGGTGCCGCTCTGTGGCACCCGGGTCGTGCTCTCATGGTTGGGACCCTCTCACACACCTAGCGGTGGGAACCCTTGGATGTCAAACCTAGCGCTCACACCGCCCCTTGATAGACCTGTGCTGTTGCATCGCCCATTCCCCTCCCCGTTGATTCTTGGCCAAAACTAATTCGCGCCCTGATCTGTTCCATCCACTGTGACGCATGCATGCGTTGGGCAAAGGGATTCGAGGCTGGGAGGCTAGCAATGTGACAGCGGTTCCCAGGGGGACGGCAGACAGGAAAACGCGAGGCAGGTGGTCCCCGCAAATAAGACGCGTTGTGCCCTGCCGCTAGGCCAGCGCAACAACCAGCTGGAGGCTGTCTCTCGTTTCCTGCTCTCTGCTGCCCTCCCCGCCCTCACGCCGTCTCGATGTTGGAGGGCGCGTCCCCGTCCAGCAGGTGCTTCAGGTGCATGTTGGTGACCTTGGTGAGGCGCCGCACCTTGCGCGCCTTGCGCTTTTTCTCCCGCGCCTCGCGCTTCTCCAGAACCTGCCGCGGCGCGGGCTTGAGGCCTGCCGGGGGCAGAGGCCGCACATGGCGGCATGAGCGGCTCTCCCTTGCCCACAACCTGGGGCCCTGGACTGCCCCTCAGGCCAGGCTGGCTTGCTGGGCCCGAACCAAGGCACGCGCTGCCGATGCCGCCACCCACCTATCTGCTGCAGTGCCTCCTGCAGCTCATCCTCCTCATCCGGCAGCTGCACCCCAATCGACAGCCACAGCTCCTGCGGGACGGGGGAAGGACAGGCTGAGGGCTGGGCGGCGCTGCCGTGGGCACGCTCCGCTGTGCTGCCAGCTGTGCTGACGTCCACGCATGCGCAGCGCCGCCCTTCTGCGCGCCGCCATGCGCATGCCACCGCCACCAACAGCAGCAGTAGCAATCCCGTCGCCGCAGCAGCAGCGCAGCAGCAGCAGCACAGCGGCGGCAGAGCAGCAGCGGAGCAGTGGCAGAGCAGCAGCGGCAGAGCAGCAGCGGCGGCAGCATCGCGAGAGCAGAGCGCCCAGCGGCGTGCCTGCAGGTCTGGATCCACCCGCAGCTTGATGCGCTGGTCCACAGGGTAATAGACCTCCTTGCGGGTCACATCCGCCGCACGAATTATGAATGCTGAGCAGGATAATTTAAGGCTGGCACGCATCCAATACGTGGAGTGAAGCGTTAGTACATTTCACAGGGCTGGGCTACAGGGCTGGGCTGCCCTGCTGGTGCCGGCAGTCGCGGCAGGACGGCATGCCGATGCGGTCCGCTGGCCGCCACCTGGCACCCGTGCCTGCTGGCTCAGCTATGGTAGGGCGCATCCTATGGTAGGGCCGGCTGCTGCCTGGCTCAGGCGCTGGCCTCCGCCTGCTGGCTGCAGCGCGGTCAGGCGCTTGCCTCCAGCGTGATGGTCAGGTGCTCGGTAGCATCCGCCCGCAGCACCTCCACATCCAGCTGCAGGCAGGCAGGCAGGCAGGCAGGCAACCACAGCAGGCGCAGCATGGAGCGCAACAGCCAGGGGAAGGGGGGGCAGCTGCAGCCAGGACGGCCTCGTGCCCTGCTGCCAACGGGGGGCAGCAGCAGTGCAAAGGCAGCAGCATAGCAATATGTGCAGTACCACGGTACCGTACCTTGTCCCCCACCGAGCACTTGTCCAGGATGCGGTACAGGTCTGAGGCGGTGTTGATGCGCTTGCCGTCGATGGCCAGAATGATGTCGCCCAGCACCAGCCTGCAGTAGCGGGTGTCCCGGGCGGAGGGCGGTTGGGCGGTGTGGCGCTGGGTGGGTGGCTGTGTGAGTAATGTGCAGCATGATGTGTTGTGCGGTGCTATGCTGGTAAGTGCAGATGGCGTGCTTCAGGCACGATGTTACGGACATGCCATCAACATAAAACCATCAACTACAGTGTCGTCCCTCCTTCCAACTCACCGGCCGTACTCATCCCGCGTCGAGCCCCGCACGCCGGCCTTGGCAGCAGGCCCGCCGTCCCGTGCGTTGAGAACCAGCACGCCGTTCACCCCCAGCTGCTCCACTGCACCTTTGCGTGCGCAGCGGCGAGCGGGGAGGCGGCGTCAGGCACACCTCAAGGCTGGGCTGCTGAACAACGGGGGACGGCGCTGGCCGCTCGGCGACTCGGCCGGCCTCCGCGCGTCACACGTGATGCGCCGGCGGCAGAGGCAGAGGCAGGGGGAGAGGCAGAGGCAGCGGCTGGAAAAACAGAACCAAGCTCGCACCCGACTGGTCTGGCGCAAAGCTGATGCCCATGATGGGCCGCACCACCTTGCCGTACTTGATGATCTGCGGGCGGGCAGGCAGGCGGGTAGGAAGCGTCAGGCTGGCGAGCAGACACGTAGGCAGGCAGGAGGGCAGACAAGCAGGCAGGCAGGCGGGCAAGGGAGGAGGCATGCAGGCAGCCACAGAGGCAGGATCGGCAGGCAGCACACCGCGTCCAGCCCGTGGGGCGTGCAAACAGCCAGGGGCCAGCGCAGGCAGCTGCCGCTTGCCTGGTCCACGCTGCTCTTCACCACGTCCACAGGGATGGCAAAGCCCACGCCCGCGCTGTTCCCTGCGCAGCAGTGCATCCTCCCAGGTGCACGGCTGAGCGCCTGGCATGCAGCCTTGCAGGTAGCTGCCAGCCAGCTGGCGGGCATGGCCCCTCACCCCGCAGGCGGACCGCGGGCCCCATCCCGCCTGGCAAAACGCACGCGCACCTGACTGGCTATAGATGGCTGTGTTGATGCCAATCATGCTGCCACTGCTGTCCAGCAACGGCCCACCGCTGTTGCCTGCAGGCCCGCGAGTCAACGGGATGTTAGTCGGCGGCCACAGCCTGCCTTGATGAGCATGCCCTGATGAGCACGCTGCTGACGGCAGCGGGCAATGCGCATACACAAGAGCAGCAGGCCGGTACGGCAGGAAGGCGGGCAGGCCGGCGAGCAGGCTGGCAGGCTGCGTGACTGGCCTGGATTGATGGCTGCATCGGTTTGGATCACATCCTGGATGGGGCGCCCCGTGTTGCCAGAGTTGATTTCCCGCCCCGTGCCGCTGATGACGCCTGCAGGCGCGGCAGCAGAGTAGCGGGCAGGCAGGCAGGCAGTCGGGTGGGAGAAAAGGCCACCCAAGGGGCCTCCCCCGGAAACAGGGGGCCGCGGGCCAGCCCGCGACGCTGCTCAGCTGCCACGGAGGCGCAGGCTTAGGGAGGGCATGCAGCGGTGTGACCGGGGAGCCCCGCAGTGAGAAGATGCTCGCAGCGCCAGCCTGCGCCGGGCCGCCAGGCGCCACCTGCCTGCGGTGAGCGTGTGGTCCAGGCCGAAGGGGTTGCCGATGGCAAAGACCTTCTGCCCCACCTCCAGATCTGCCGAGTCGCCCAGGCGCAGCGGGGTCAGTGGGCCCTGCAGCGCCGGCGGCGCGCCAGGGGCGGGCGCGTGGGCTGCAGCGACGGGCGCAGAGCAGCAGCGACGCGCGCAGAGCAGCAGCGGCAGGCAGGCCCACACCCACAGCCCCACACTTCACAGCCAACGGCCGCTCAGCTCCATCCAGACTGCCACACGAATGTAGCCCCACACAACCGCAGGGCCACACCCTCCCTCCCCCTCCCTCCCTGCTTGCCTCCATCTCTTTAGCCTGTATCTGCAGCACCGCCACATCCTTGTCCTCGTCGAAGCCCACCACCTTGGCAGGCTGCCCCTCGCCGCCTGATAGCGTCACCTGCAGCGCACGCAGTGGGGCCCAGGTGGCGGGAGCGAGCCGCAAGGGCACCGCGCCACGAGCACAGCCGATCGTAGCATTCATGGCGTGCACCCCCGGCTGCCACCAGCGAGCAGACGCCATGCCGGCCCCGGAAACAGTAGCACGGCGGCGGCCCGACTTGGCGGCGCCGTTCCAGGCAGGCGCTGCCATCCACCCACCAGCACATCGGAGGCGCCCCGGATCACGTGATAGTTGGTCACAATGTGGCCTTGCTTGTCCCACACAAACCCTGCAGAGCGTGGCCAGGGGGCAGCGCGGAAGTGTGGGGCCGCCCGTGGTTGCTGAGCCGGCTCCTGTGACGCGGCTGTTGGGGCAGTCCAGCAGGCCACCCTCGGAGGCAAGCTGCTCCCTATGCATCCGACTGCGGCAGCGGGCGAGGCAGCAAGTTCCCCCCTCACCTGAGCCCTCTCCCTGCGGAATCTCCAGCATGTTGAGCGTGAAGGCGTCCCGCCTGCGCTACGGTATCGCCAGGACAGGTGGGCATGGCAGGCACATGACCAACGGAGCCGTTCAGAAGAACGGTTGCAGGCGTGAACCAATACCGACCGGCAGCGCAGCGCCAGCGCAACAGGTGGCGCGCACGGCCGGAAACACCAGCTACCACCGCCTGCGGTGCGGCGGCCTCTCACCGGGTCGTGAGGCTTGTGATGTAGACTACGCTTGGCCTGCTGCGCTGGAACAGGGCTATCGTGTTCTTTTCGTCTTGCGTGAGCACTGGCCTGGCCTTAGCGACGTCTAGAGGAGTGCCCACAAGCAGCGCCGCCGTGGCAGCCACCCCCGCCAGCGCCGCCGCCAGCCGCCGCTGCGGCTGCTGCCAGCGATCAGCGCCGTCGGCAGCGTCTACCGGCTGGTGGGCCCCAGGCCGCTGCTGGCAGCGTGGCTGCACAAGTGTTGCGCGGCGTGGCGCCGGCGGGCAGCGGCGGCAAGCTGCCGAGTCTGCAGTGGCTGCCAGCGGCGGCGGAAGGGCGCAGTGGGCGGTGAGCCCTTGTGCGCGTCCCGGGAGGGTTGCACCTCGTGCTCTACCGATCTTATCACGTAGCAGCAGTAGGGAACGCACCTGTGGTGCACTTGCCAGAGCCCTGCAGACGCTGCGGAATGCTCATATCCTTGAAGTGGGAGCGGTGTGCGCCGGGGCTGTACAATTGGAGCGATCGGTTGCAGGAGATCAAGGCCAAAGGCTAGAGCTTTGCGCTGTTGGGGGTTTGTAGCCAGAGCGCTACGTGTGTGGCGATGCGTGTCTCCAGCGCGTGGCAGCAATCTCAGATTGCGCGGTTGCGTCCTCTGTGGAGGGGCGCGGCCTTCACAGACAAAGCCTCTCTTCTTGCGCCCGCCACCGTGGCGGGATGATTCCTGCTGGGCGAAACCCGGGGCCCAATGCCCGCCTCTCCCTTTCCCTCGGGTGATCAGCGCCGGCCTGAGTCCTTGCCGACAGCAGCCAGCCATGAGCGCAGCGGTTGCCGCACCTCCAGCCCCGGCGGAAGTCGTCGTGAGTCCCACCGCACAGATCGCTACCCCGGGTGGACTGCAGTTGCATGATCTAGCTCTAGCAGGCTCCCCGCCCGCATCAACGCTGGGCGGTTGCCTGGCGGCGCCACCTGTCGCCGCTGCCCGCTCACCCGCCTACCAGGCCACCTGCTGGCACTAAAAACAAGCTGCTGGCTGAGCAGCTCAGACAGACTGCCGGTACCGCTGCCGTTCGAACGTGTAGCCCTCTCCCCTTTTGCTGCAGCCATGGGAGCTGTTCAAAACAAAGATGGACAAGGCGGGGCTCAGCGAAGCGGCACAGGGCGCCTTCAAGCTCAACTACGAGCAGCTCGTGCGCGGCGTGACGGGCCTGGTGCGCGGCGGCCGCCTGCTGCAGCACCGGCGCCTCGCCGGCGGCAGTACTGGTGCCTTTGGCCGTGCTGTTGTGGCTGCTGCTGCTACGGTCGCTGCTGTCGCTGCGGTCACTCCAAACATGGGACCGCAAGCTGCGACCTAGCCCAGATCCAGCCTGCCACTTGTTAACCCACGCATCCCTCTTTGCCTGCTGTGCAGGTGCCGGATAGGGACATCGACTCCGTGCAGGAGCTGCCACGGCTGGAGGCCCTCAAAGCGTCGGCAGAGGAGGGGGCAGACATCAAGGCATGCCGCCGCCGCTGCTGCCGCGGCTGCCTGCACCCGGCAGACGTCCCTGGCCTGCTGCCTCCCGCCTGCTGCGCGGTGTGCTGTCTTCCCTGCCTCTTCATCGCTGCCCGCTGCCTGTTGCGCCGTGAGCTCCTCACCAACCCCTCCCCGGGCCGCTCCTCCCGCCTCTGCTGCACCACACCTGCAGGACCTGCTGAAGCAGACGGCGGTGCTGAAGCTCAACGGCGGGCTGGGCACCAGCATGGGGTTGGAGAAGGCCAAGTCGCTGCTGGAGGTGAAGGGCGGGAAGACCTTCCTGGACCTGATCGCAGAGCAGATCAAGTACACTCGGCAGAAGTACGGTGAGGGTGGTTGTTGGGAGGTGCTGAGACTTGGTAGCGAGTGGAGTGATGGTGGTGGTGTTC